CGTAGGAGGAGGATGAGGCTTCCGCTCTTTTTATAGCAACCTCTTTTCCATCCTCTAAAGTTGCGTAATACACTGAACCGAAGCTGCCAATTCCGATTCTCTTGTCCTCAGAGAAATTGTCGGTGACTTGGAGCAGTGTCTCTAGAGAAAACTCCTCCAAAGGGCTTCCATTTCCCATGCTGATCACATGGCTCAAACGCTTCTGAAGAACACGAGATACAGGTTGAGACCCATCCAACCTGTCAGAATCATGGACACGGCTTGCTCTGCGGTTGGAGTTGCAGTATCTGTAAAGGAAGAAAGCCATGACTAGCAATAGGGAACTGCAACCAACACATCCAACCACCAGAAATGCCACCATTTTTCTGCTCCAACCTGTGTTATTATTTGGTGGTTGTGGTGGAGATTGAGCCACTTGGGGGGAACAGGGTTGGCAAATGATGTCAGGAGAGGGACATAGTTTGGCTGAATTTAGCAAGGGCCCACACGGACACTGGCTCCTACAAGGCCCTGGAAGGACATCGTCAAACACCTTCGCGTTTGACTCAAAAAATTCGGAACCCCAACAAAGCAAGGAATTGTTAGAAGACACAACACCACAGAAAACACTTCTCTTTGCCACAATTGATTCAAAGAAAGTGTCTTGCAATCTGGGTGGCATGATGAAATTATTGGACCCCCAACATAGAACTCTTCTGTCATACCCAAGGGCACAGCTTCGGTTCTCTCCCAACGCCAAAGAAAAGAATCTCCCTTGTGGTATTTCACCCTCCATGTCTCCCCAACAATGCAAGCTACCATCAAAAGAGATGGCGCAGGCATGCCTAAACCCTGCTGCTACAAAAGTGTAATTCCCACCATGCGCAGGCACATAGACCTCTACAAAGTGTGTGGGAGTCAAAACCAATTGAAACAGTTTGACGAAATAGCATAATAGAGAGTGAAGGGAAAAAAGCACACAAGATTTGGATTGGACAATTGGCTGGGGGAGGACTGTTTGGCAAAAACCCATACAAGATTATTCCTAAACTTCAAACAATAAGAAGAAAAAATTATGAGCCTGGGTAGATGGGAAAAAAATGTTTGGGTGTGGGATCTCAAATGGAGGTGAGACTAGTTAGAATAGGAAATAGGGCAAATGGAGAATCTTAAACATTTGTTGTAGAACACCAAAATGGCAAAAGGAAAATAGGACAACTGGCTTTGGCTTCATATTACTACATGGATATTTTCAATTAGCACAACATATACTTCATTATACAAATTAATAATAAGGAGTCAGATGGATAACACAATGTCTCAAATATGGAATTTGAAAGTTACCTCAAAGGTAGTTATTTTACTATGGAGGTTGTTTAGCAATGGACTACTAATGACAAATAACCTCCTTAAAAGGAATATCCCACTAGATATAGAACATTGTTGCTTCTATTTGAGGCACACATATGTATAAACTATACCACATGTTGTTTTCTTATTTAGGGAAATAGATACATTGTGGAAGGAGTGTTATAGGTGAGCATCAATATCAACTATAATACCATAAGATCCAATTCAACATTTTAAGTAGTTGCCATACAATTTGTCAACTAAAAGCATCAGGGACAAATGACAACTTGTATGGTATATAATCATCTAGAGCATTTGGGTCTGAAAAAATAATCGTGTCTTTAGGGGAGCTACTTTTGACAAACAAAACTAAAGCAAGACATCAAATTATTTTCATGGTTGTGGCTTAGTTTAGACAAGAGCCTTTTTAATTATTCATTTGAGTAGTGGAGTGCCAATCCGGGTGCATGTTCCTTTGTGTAGCCACCTATAATAAGAATGTAACCAAGATGGATGAGGGTCAAAAAGGTGCACACAATTGATATACAAGAAAAAGGTTTAGAAGGAATCAATAAGGGCAACTAAAACATATATAGACTTATTTTTCTATTTACATTAATAGTTGTGGATTGGTTACATTATGAATATTTTGTTTGACTTGAAATTGTGTTGCAATGATTTCTTTTTATATATGCAATGTAATTATACAGGTTGGGAAAGATTGTGTAGGGATATTGTTTCATATATTAGTACAAATTCTATGTCTTGGTTCATGTAAGGGATGTGTACCCCTTGTACCCTTTATCCTTTTAGTGAATTTTCCTTTGTTGACCAAAAAAAAACCTCTTCTAAAGACTATAAAAGTTACATTATTTTCTCTTCTTATATAGAAAAATGTACTTCCACCCTATAAAAGATAAAATATACAATTTTGACTCTTGGATGCTTAAGCAAATTGTTGACTTTCCAATGTTTATTACAAGAAAATGACGATTTTGCGACGGTTATATGACCTACATTGCGACGGTTAGAACTGCCGCAAAGACAACATTGCGACGGTTTGGGAATCGTCGCAAAATTGTCCGTCACAAGGCAATTTTGCGACGGTTATCAGAACTGTTGCACAAACTGTCGCAAAATTGGAATTGCGACCCTTCTATATTAACATTGTGACCCTTTCATCAACTGTCGCACCACTACTTTACTCGACATCACCGCCATCACTGGTTTAGCACCTATTGGAGATAGTTTGTACCCTGATTTGTTCGAAGAAGAGATTTCGATCAAGGAAACCTCGATATCATGGGATAAGAAGACTTACTTGGCTTTCATCAATGCTCACATGGAAAACCTGGCACCATTGTTTCGACCTCGGAGCATATTGCCTTCTTGATGTATTGGCTTTCTGCCTGTGTTTTCTGTACCCCCTCTCTTCAAGTTCCTAAGTATTATTACATCTTGGCTCAAGCCCTTCATCTAAAAAAGAAAATTTGTTTGAGTAAACTTCTGTTGGCTTCCCTGTACAGTTGTCTCGATGAAGCTTCAGAAAGCCTTTTCCGCGAGTCTGGTCCTCGAAATCTCTCTGGGCCACTATGGTTGCTTCAATTATGGCTCAATGCGATTTTGGAGAGGAAGCTTTCTCTGACTTCGCCATTCACCCCAGCATGCAAACTCGAGGGTGCACGTTTGACCACTCGTACTCCTCGCAAACGTTTAGTTGACATATTTGCTAATTATATTGATGCTATTCTTAGTTTTACTGATTTCAGTGAAGACTTAGCCCCCTTTATTCATACAACTTTGATTGGTCCCTCTTGGCTTCGAAAAAATAACCAAGTTGGAAGCATCACTCTGGAGTCACTCGAGATGTGGTTCGGTTTTCTATCTTGGGATATAATAATCTTGGGAATGAGGCAAAAAGATGTCAGGATCTACCCTTATCAACCGCAACTTTTCTCTCAACAATTTGGTTTGTTTCAAATGAAGCCCCTCCCTCTTTGACGAAAAGAAAGTATTGACTTTGATATTTGTGTCGAGACTAGGAATTACGAGGAAATTTTGGAGTTTGTTTTACGCCCTGAGAAACAACTTAAACTCACACCTTGCACTTTTCCCCCCTCTTTCTTAGTTTCTAAATGTTTTCTTCGTTGGTGGTGTGAGTATTATGTCGACAAAATTGTCGACTTTGATGGTTTTTTGAAGAAGCTGATTAATTCTCCACTTTCTTCGTAGGGCCCGAAACAATCAGGTACTTTCAAGAACCAAACTATTATTTATCAATTCGAGCAATTTTTTAAAGTTTGTTATCGGCCCGACAACATTGGTCGAACCATCTTCGATGCGTCTGTCTCTTTATCAAAAATGGTACAAAGGAACATCTGCTCGAAAAAGGTGATTAATCCTTGAGGAAAAATTAATTTCGAAAAATTTTGTCTTAAGCACATACCCCCTCTTCCAAATGCTCTTTTTGGTCTAGTTAAACATTTGTCTCGCCCTTCTTGGGTGAAGACTCTCGACCCACTTTACTTTGAGCGTAAAGAGGTCCTTGTAAAGAATCGAGTTACCTATGCGAGATGTTCCCTGTACGATTTTCCTCGAAGAAGATGGTGGCCATTGTGTTGGGTCGATAATACAAATCCTCCCCCCGGTAAATGACTCTTAACTAAGAACTTTCTTGAATTCCACTTTGTACTTATCTCATCCTCTTTCTATGTTATACGTTATACAGCTGCTATTCCTCAACATGTTCCACAACATGTTGAACAAACTCCCAACTGCGAGAGTGACGACGATGATGATGCCAAAGGGTCATCATTGAAAGGACGAAAAAGAAAGACCGCTTCTGACAAGGTTTCATTACGCTCCAAGGTACAATTCTTTTCGAGCTAACCCTTCAGTCGAATTTCTGGATTTGTTTAGTTCTGCACCTTTCCGAGTTCTTGTAATTTTAGAGTGTTGAGACCTCAAAAAAACAAAAAATGGACTCAAGCAGCACCAAGACAGTGAGTAAACCTGTTGCCTTAATATTTTCTTGTCTATTTTGAGTCTTGCCTATTTCGAGTCTTAACCACAAAGATTGTTCTTTTACTTGCAAGTTTCGACCACCAAAAAGCAGGATAAAGAAAAGGCGAAGTTAGTAATTCCTCTTTCCAAGAAACCACAGAAGCCCCCTGTCGAAAAACTTCTCAAAGACGCAATGAAATCTATCCCAAAGGTATTTTAGCTTTTGATTTTGATTAAATCTCCTCATTTCTTCGACTTTTCTAAGGTCTTTGCTCGTCACAGGATAAGCTTCATCGAGACAACTGTACAGGGAAGCCAACAGAAGTTTACTCAAACAAATTTTCTTTTTTAGATGAAGGGCTTGAGCCAAGATGTAATAATACTTAGGAACTTGAAGAGAGGGGGTACAGAAAACACAGGCAGAAAGCCAATACATCAAGAAGGCAATATGCTCCGAGGTCGAAACAATGGTGCCTATGTATTTTAAATATTTATGGGGATTATTAAAAGGATTTTATAATTAAAAATAATAAAACAATATTCTGGGCTCAGAACGGGCCGTTCCAAGTTTTCGAAAAGAGTTGTGTTTGTTGGCCCGGAACGGGCCGTTTCAAAAGTGTAAAGAGGCCTACTTTTCTTATCTCAGAACGGGCCGTTCCCAAAGTGAAACGGGCCGTTCCAAGAATGAAAAAAATGCCTAAAAATCTTAGTTAGAAACGGGCCGTTCTACTAATAGTCAATGAGTGCAAACATGAACCTAATAACGGGCCGTTCTGCTTTTTGAAAATGGGCCGTTCTGATTTTAGAACGGGCTGTTCCAGATTCAATACGGGCCGTTCCGGGTACGCCAGGATGCCTATAAATAGGAGGCAGGGGTGAAAAAAATTATAACTGAGTGAGAAGTGAAAATCTTAGAGAGAGAGAGAGAGAGAGAGAAAGAGAAAGAAAGAGAGAGAAAGAAAGAGGGAATCCAGAGGGAGAGGTTCTGCTCAAGTTTTAGCTCCTGCTTATCCAGGTAAGGGGGAGGAGAACCTTATCTCTTTAAAATTTTATATATTACTATATCTATATATTTATGTTATTTTTTATGTGTATTTATTCAGTGGGGTGTCCCTAACCTCATTTATTTGCTTAACCTATGATTATTTTTATCCATAATAATTATTAATGATTCTTCATTACATATGAAGATACGTAGGACCAGGAAATTATTCCTGTCGAGCCCAAAAAAAAAATAATAATATTATCTCAGTAATAATGATAATAAACAACTTTCAACGCACTTGTTGAATAAAATATATGTGATTATCATCGTTAATTTCTATTAATTTGGGGTGAGATAAATATTTTTAAAAGTTATAATAGTTTGCTTGATTAATTAGAGGTAACCGTCTTTATGATGGACGTTGTAAGGTGCTAATACCTTCCTTACATGTAATTGACTCCCGAACTCAAAATATGATTTTGTAGACCATTTTTCTTTAATGTTTTTTCCAATGTTTTTTTTTTATAGAAATAAACATTGGTGGCGACTCCATGTCTATCAAGAAAAAAAAATAATAATATTTTTCGTCGTCCCGTCGTGATCTTGGTTGTGACAAAGGTGAAATATCATATTGTTGGTTAAGGTGAAATATCCTTTTGTTGGTTGGTATTATGATGATGCTCATTTATCCTGACTAGTCACTACAAGTATAATTCAAATTTTATTGTATCATGAAAATCTAATACATGATCTGTATATATATTTATATATATATATATATTTAATATTGATTATAAATAATTTTGTATATTCTTTTGAATTATTGTATTTATTGGATATTGTTCTCACTCCTCTCTTTTCTTTGTTTTTAAAATTAAATCTATTATAAAATAGATGGATCTACTTGAGATTCCAGACCATTTTGCAGTTGTTGTTACTGCTGTCCTACATGGAAGAAATTGGAATATGGAGGCTATTTGATGGATCTATTATAATTTTATTTGCCAACCATATTATTTCAATTGTAATTTTCTTTCCACTATTAATGTAAATATTGTAATAGAAAGGGAAGAAAGAAACAATGTGTAAAATAGTACGTTATTGTAAATATTTTAGAACGATACATCATGTATTAAATTCACAAAATATTCTTTTTCTTTATCTTTATCTTCATTATAAAGAAAAAAAATAATGTTGATGATATAATTGCGAAAATATTATTTAATAAAATATATAATTATTATTAAATCGGGCGTTACATTCATAATTTTTTATCTAAAAAAATAATATATTTTAAAAAATAGCACGTTTGACCACTCGTACTCCTCGCAAACGTTTAGTTGACATATTTGCTAATTATATTGATGCTATTCTTAGTTTTACTGATTTCAGTGAAGACTTAGCCCCCTTTATTCATACAACTTTGATTGGTCCCTCTTGGCTTCGAAAAAATAACCAAGTTGGAAGCATCACTCTGGAGTCACTCGAGATGTGGTTCGGTTTTCTATCTTGGGATATAATAATCTTGGGAATGAGGCAAAAAGATGTCAGGATCTACCCTTATCAACCGCAACTTTTCTCTCAACAATTTGGTTTGTTTCAAATGAAGCCCCTCCCTCTTTGACGAAAAGAAAGTATTGACTTTGATATTTGTGTCGAGACTAGGAATTACGAGGAAATTTTGGAGTTTGTTTTACGCCCTGAGAAACAACTTAAACTCACACCTTGCACTTTTCCCCCCTCTTTCTTAGTTTCTAAATGTTTTCTTCGTTGGTGGTGTGAGTATTATGTCGACAAAATTGTCGACTTTGATGGTTTTTTGAAGAAGCTGATTAATTCTCCACTTTCTTCGTAGGGCCCGAAACAATCAGGTACTTTCAAGAACCAAACTATTATTTATCAATTCGAGCAATTTTTTAAAGTTTGTTATCGGCCCGACAACATTGGTCGAACCATCTTCGATGCGTCTGTCTCTTTATCAAAAATGGTACAAAGGAACATCTGCTCGAAAAAGGTGATTAATCCTTGAGGAAAAATTAATTTCGAAAAATTTTGTCTTAAGCACATACCCCCTCTTCCAAATGCTCTTTTTGGTCTAGTTAAACATTTGTCTCGCCCTTCTTGGGTGAAGACTCTCGACCCACTTTACTTTGAGCGTAAAGAGGTCCTTGTAAAGAATCGAGTTACCTATGCGAGATGTTCCCTGTACGATTTTCCTCGAAGAAGATGGTGGCCATTGTGTTGGGTCGATAATACAAATCCTCCCCCCGGTAAATGACTCTTAACTAAGAACTTTCTTGAATTCCACTTTGTACTTATCTCATCCTCTTTCTATGTTATACGTTATACAGCTGCTATTCCTCAACATGTTCC